TAGTGAGAGAAACGGAGAAAATGAAACAGTGAGAGAAGAGTCTTGAAGTTGCTGCAGAGTGGGCCTTGGAGATGGAGGAAGAGGCCAAGAGCGGGGTGGGGGGTGGGGATGCAGGCATCCTCAAGAAACCAGAAAAGGTAAGAACAAAAGCTTCCCTAGAATTTCCTACTGATTCGGTGTTCTCAGTCTGACTTTCAAGAGTATGAGAAAAGGAATCTGTGCTGTCCTGAGCAGCTATTAAGATGGATCTTCATGGCAGCCAAAGGAAATAGAGGCGTCTGAAATTCTTAGACCGGACTCCAAAGAAGGGCAACAGGCTTGGATGGTAGCTGAGACCCGTGGCCCCCAGGTTAGTCCTTTCCTTCCTCCACAATTGGCTCAGTGGGTGGTGGGTGGTGGTGTCTGTTGTCTCCTCTGTGTGTGCAGCCATCAAGACAGTGACTGGTCACATTTGCTTTAGCTGGACTCAGTTTCTCCACTACCCATGATGACCCACTGAGAATTCCGTGATAGGGCCTGTAGGTTGGGCAAATAAAAACACATTGCATGGGACGCGCTGTAATATAGGGATCACTGCCTATCTCAAATTCACATTAGAGACATTTGTGTTTCATCCAGGCAACTCTACCCCTGTGCCGGGGAAACACCTGCTGCTTTCAGGTTCTGAGATCCGATCCCTCCATCCCTGGAGACGCCTTTAGCTCAACTGAACCCCATTTGGAGTTCTCACTTAGCAAATTGTCAATTGTCTGGTCTGTCCCTGAGGGGCATTGCTGAAGTCAGAGAGCAGGTGGGAAACACAGCGGCTGTTGAGAGAGGAGGGAGCTTGGACCAGGTGTGAGGTTCAGCACCGCAGCTCAGGTGTCCTCCTGCAAGAATTGTCATTGAACTGCCATCTTCTCTGGCCGTCTGGGGCTGGTTGTAAGCACTCCGTATCTTCCAAGGAGGGGAGGAATCATGGATGGCTAGGGCCACTGTAGCCAAGTACCACAGACCAAAGAGCTTAAGTAGCAGAAACTTGTTCCCTCTTACTCCAGAGGCTCTAAGTTCAAGATCAGTGTGTTGGCATCTGGTCTCTGGTAAGGGTTCTCTTTCTGGGTGGTTGGTGACCACTTTCTTGCTTTCTGTCCACATGGTTCTCTCTTGAGATTGTGTTAGGGTCCACAGAACGTCCTCACTACACCTTAGTGTCGTGCAAATTTCTATTTCCAAATATAGCCACATAGTGAGGTATCAGTAGTTATGACTTCTGCATATGCATAACCCAGGACCCTTTCAGCCCACTTCAGGAAGCTGCCTGGATAAACTGTCCCAGCATCCCTCAGAGCTCAGGACTGTGGCCCAAGGGGAGAAGTTCACAGAGGCCTTCTGTAAACTTCCACCAGGGCCAAGGAATCATGATGGCAGGAACCTGGGAGGGACCTCGGGCCAGAGGCAGTTAACCCTCCAAGAGGTAGTTTGGCAACTAAGAAATCACATTCCTTCGATGCAGGGTAGAGCCCAAGTTGGGACCTTGATTTTATTGGTCTGTTAGTTTTCTTCAGGAAAACTAGGAAACTCCAGCCAGTACAGCTGACTTGTGGAGCTCTTTGATGTATTCCTGATATCAGGGCATCATTCTGGCAACTGCATTGAACAACAACAACCAAGTTCCCAGCCAACTAGCACTGGACCAACATCTCTCTTTTAGGAAACCATGCAGGGAAAGTCTTGTTACGTTGCCAGGAGTGCTGGGATGATGCGCCGAGAGTCTAAACATTAGACTCTGATGGGAGGCGGCCTTCTCCTTCAGCAGGATCAGGGGTAGGGCATGTCTGGAAATTAAGATCCTGAACTTCTGTGGCAAAGCTTGACTGAAGTCACTGGCTTCTCCTGACAAAGGCCAGCATTGCAGGTCCTGGAGTCACAGAATATGGGCCCCAAGGGGTTCTGCATTAATGGCTTTCAAAATATGTCCTATAGAACCCAAGGATCCCCCTCCTCCCAGCCAGGGTTTCAAGGGAAGGTAAAGCCCCATTCCTTCTCCTAGGTAACTGTACAGCTATCTCATTCCTGTGTTGGACCTCCATACAGAGCTGCTTTTGGGAAAGAGGGCTTCCTTGCATAAAAATGTGGAGACCATCAATCTAGTTCAAGACTTTGTATATGACAGATTTGTTTCTTCAAACATGTTTGGAACTCTCTAACTTAGGACACAGTGCTAGACTTGAAGGTATTTGTCATTGAAGCATAACACGGCAGACAGGGACCAATAAACCCAGAAGCCCCCAGGAACCACTCCACACACTTTGTTGACTGGAACTAGTTGGGGGCTCACATTACCTTACGCTGCCTTGCAAGTGACAGTTGTTTATGTTCCTGGAGCCTTGGTAACGGACACTCAAAATGTGTGGCTTCCTGGGGGTTGGGGATATGGCTCAATAATGTCATTTAAGTCTCACAAAACCTGTAAATACTGCAGACTTGGAGGCTGAGTGAATCTCCCACAGTTAGTTAGACACGAATTCAATCTAACTCCAGAGTCTGGGTTCTTCTTGATGACTGATTTTCAGAAATGATCCAGATCTTGAGCTTGAGAGGGCAGGGTTTTGAACACCATTGGCAATTCGGGAAAATCAGGAGAGGAAGCTTGCTTTGGGATGTGGCAAAGATCTCCACTGTAAATCCCATCGGTTGGAGGTTGGGGTGGATCCCGACATCCTCCCGACTCCCTTTGACAGTCATTCCACGTGTCACTGGGAAAGGGGGACTTGGCAGAAAGGCAACAAGGAAGGAGAACTGGGAAGCTTTACTCTGACGGCTGATGGAAAACTTGGCCTCAGTTTATCTTCGTGCTAGTGAATCCGAGAAAACAGATCCACTTTAATATAACGATGGTATTTGCCAAAGAGGTGAAAACTCATTTACTGATACCATCTCTTGGCTTTCTTGTGAGGTGGTACTCCTGAAAATGAACACAGGGCTGGGTGTGTCTAGGACAGAAGTGTGAAGAACCAGCTTTCAGCTCCTCATGCAGGCAGCTCAGAGAGAGCTCGGCCTGTGTCCACAGGGAGGCAGGAGAAGGACGGAGAAACAAGGACTTGCTTCCTTTGTGGTGGTTATGGCATTAGGAGGACACACAAGGCAGCATTACTGAAATGAGCTCATTGCCTGTAGACGATTTAGAAGGGCGGATGTCATGTAACCCCAGCAGCTGCCTGGAGGAACGAATACATTTCTGTTTGTTTATGTTGTGTGTGCACTTGTGGAGGGCGGGGGACAACTTGTGGGAATCGGTTTCCTCCTTCAGAATGTGTATCCTGGGGACAGAACTCAGGTCATCAGGCTTAGCAGCAAGCTCCTTTACGTGCTGCACCATCTTGCCAGCCCATGATGGAATTGAAATAAGGATGGACCTTGTCTCTGTCATTTGTTACCTGTCTGATTTTGGACAGGCTACCTGCCCTTCTAGGCCTCAACGTCTTCAACTGAAATGTGGGAAATGATACATCACACATGGTGTTTGGAGATGCGAATGAGAAGCCATATGGAACAAACGTTCATTCACCATCCCACTTGGGACTCTCTCGACTCCTTATTCCTTTCCTCAACAGGCCTATGCAGAGACAACCTGGGCACCAAGCGGCTTCCCTGTTGCAAAGGAAGTATGAAGCCAGTAAAATTAAGGGAGGGCATGGGATAGGAAAAAGATAGTAGACCCTCACCTGCTGGGTCACACATTATCACACACGTCACCACCACCCCTCAAGAGGAACTGACCTCCTGGGAATGGGTGTGACTTGCTCAGGACCACACAGCAAGCTAGAGACAGCCAGTGAACTTGGATACAGATCTCTGGGCCTTATTTTCATTACCCCAGAAGTAGCTTTTTATGGTCAGTGAGCTTGGAAGCCAGATTTTCTGGACATTGTGTACAACTGAAAACAGACCTTGACTCCCCAGGCAGCTCTGTCTCGGGGCAAATGTAAGTGCACATCTATACTGCAACCACCTGAGTGGGAAGGTGGAGCCTCCCAAAGGGGCCAGGGAAGGACTGGCATTGAGAACAGACTCCATTCAAATCCACCCACCCATCCATTCATCCCAAGGAAGAGTGACTGGGCCTTGTAATGTGCTGTGAATGACGTCATGTAGTTGCGTTAACTTTTCTCCGTCTTCTGTTAGTGGGTCTCCAACCCTGCAAATGTCACATGTGGGTAGTCACACTTGCTGTGCGGTAGTCATTCAGGATGGTGGTGACTTTGCCAGAAGGAAGGACATGGTATACGTGCCCCCATCTGACCTCTCTTCCTGTACGAGAAGGACGTGTGTTCCACCCAGGCTCTGCTTTAAAGGGCTGGGCTGGGTGTGGTGTGCAGTGGTGGGGCTGGCCCTGGTCTGTGAGAACAACTCCTCAAAACCTGAGAGAGGTGCCAGGACCCCAGAGAGGTCAAAGACAGCCGATCCAGGAGAGAGGGAAGTAGCGCATTCAGAGGCAAGGGCCAGGGAGCTGGCCGATGCAGCATGGGTCAGGGTGCCTCCATGTGGTTGCCACTGGGGTTCTGCAGGAAAGCAAATGAAGCAGGGCATAGCAAGGGGGCCATGGGAGCGCTGATGACAGGAGTGAGCTGGGTTCTTCAGCAAGAGTTGGGAATGTGGGCAAGGGTTTTGACTGTTCTCGAATGAAATGACGGCTAGGGGAACTAAGCTGAGGGATGTTAGGGACCAGTGGCTCCCAGCCTTGGTTTACTTGTATCTCAACCCTGTTACTAGGCAGGATACACCATCAGAAACACTTGGGGTTATATCCACTCTCTCTACCCACTTGCGTTATGGGGGTGAGGAAAAGAGGAAGGCGGGCACAGTAAATGGTCACACGTGAGAACCTGGGATGGATGCATGCAAAGACGAGAAAGTCTTGTCCAAGCTCTGCTCTTCGCCCCCACGCGTGAGTTTCCCCTTGTTGAGGAGCCTAGCTGTGGATGGAACGCGAGACCACTGAATGCCTCAGAGGCATGACGGAAGTCAGTCATAACATTTATTAAACATTCACGGTACGTGTGCCTTACTAGGCAAAACACAGGAAGAGCATACAGTGGAAATCCAGGAGCTGTCGTCGCTTAACTCATGAGGACGACATTTTGCTTAAGCAGAGAGACACCTGTTAAGCATACAGGGACATGTGCAACCAAACCCCAGATACACGGGCACTCTCATTCACCACGTCAAGTGCATGAGGAGACCTTCCCATGGTGCTTGGGGCACACGAAGCTGAGACACACCTCTCAGTTCCGATGCTCCAGGGTATCATGCTGCTGCTGAAGGGATGCTACTAGAAGACACTAAAATACTAGGAAATCCATGTATTTGCTTCCTTAACTTGAATTCATGCTCAAATCAGTAATCTTGTTTAACACGAGGCGAAGGAAGTTGACTTGACAAAGTGTGTGAGCAGCATGATGTGAGAAAAAATTCATCAGTAAAAACCAGACCCTTCCAAGCTCATCACAGATTCTGGAGGTTAATAGCCCCCTAGACCCACCTCTCAGCTTCCAATAGGTGAAAGACTTTCCAATAAATTAAATCAGCAAAGGCATTTTATTACTGTACAGGTGGGAAATTTTGTTTATGTTTTTGCCTGCCTTAAAATATTTCAAAAGTGGGGTTGGCAGATAAAATATAGGCTGTCCTCCAGTGTATGAGATGCACTCAAAACTAAAAATTAGTGTCTATAAGGGTGTTTCTCAATGTGTGGTTTGCGACCCCTTGGAGCTGACCGACCCTTTCACAGAGGTCACTTAAGACCACTGGAAAACATATATTTGCATTATGATTCATAATGGTAGCAAAATTATAGTTATGAAGTAGTAATGAAAATGATTTTATGGTTGGGGGGGTCACCACAATATAAGGAATAATATTAAAGGGTCAGGGCATTAGGAAGGTTGGAAATTACTGGTCTATGGCTTATCCAAAAGTACATTTTAGCTGCATATCTGTATTTTTGTTAGCTAAATCCCAGAATCTTGCTTTTAGGTTAATATACTTTCAGAAACTCCAGAGGTTCCTAATAATGGAGGGGGGGGAATCCTAATATTTCTTCGTTGATTTCCTAATACTGTCAGGGGGTCAGAGGGGATGGATCAGTCTTTATTTAGGCAGGAAAGGTATGTAGACTATAAGACCTACTCAGGTATCAAAGACATTTTTATCTCTTACATCTTTTATCATTACAGTTTGAACTCTGCATTTTGACTTTACAATCACTGACTGAGAGGGTGGTGATTGCGACTCATAAGACTGAAGTCTGGGGAGGGAGTAGTCTGGTTTGACAGGCTGAGTGTGACGGGCAGTTATGTGCTCAGCTGTTTCTCCTTAGTACGCTCCACTGGGCACAACTATCACTGTAAGATGCACGTCTTGTCTAATTCTAGAACACCGGGAACCTTATCATCCCTTGCCGCTCTCCTCTTTCCCTCTTCCACAGGGAGGTTTGGGGACTGTTGAGGGTGTGGAGCCCAGATCAGTGGCTGGTTGTGGCCTTATGAAAGGAGAAGAACAATGTTCATTCCTTGGATAATTGGCAGCTCATTGCAATAAACTTTCCTTGATTTTTTTCTTTGCATATTATACTTTTTGCATGTACCTACAAACTTGTTTCTGTTGAAAAGGTCCATACTAACCCTATTAAGTAGACAAGACAGTATTATTCAAGAAAAAAGGGGAGAAAAGGAGAGACAGGCAGGAAGGAAGCAGTGAGGGAGGGAGAGAGAGTGGGTGCGTTGGTAGACTGGATTGCTACATGCTATTGGAATGTTCTTCCTGGTGTCTCAATGTATAGTTTATCTCTGTTTTTAAACAGAGAGTTCTCAGAGTCAAGTGTTTTCAACACGAATTTTGCAAAGAACCAAAACTCACACAGAACTCCTGCTTTTATGGAAGAATGGTAACACTTGCTGAATTCCAATATCCACTGACAAGTTTTTAACACATAGAGAATGTAACCATATGTTCAGTTCACACACACACACACACACACACACACACACACACACACACACACACTGAGCCAACTATCAAGAGCTACATAGATGGTATTTAAAAGCATACACACTTTTGACATTCAAAGCTACCTGTTAACTGAGTCCCAGCATGCCAGTTTTCTTTGGGGCCTGACTATACATGCTTCCGCCCTTGCCCAGGTATATACAACTCCCCTTCCTACCTAGAGGTCTTTCTGGAGAAGAGGAAGTCCAGATGAACACAAGAAATTAAGTTGAGGTTTTAAAAAGCTGTGGGGCTGGGGTACAAAGGAGAAGTCACACAGCACGGATCACCCCCCTTTCTGCAGCTTGCCATTGTTGACAGAAAACATTCCTTCGGGTGATTGGCCTTGCATGCTTTTTCCTTTGCAGAAATAAAAATTCTAAAACCTGTCTTTTAGGCACACTCTTTTTGCTTTTCTGATGATTGATCTAAACTTCCAGCTCTGAGTGTCCTTGACCAACCTCAAGATTAAAAAGTGTCAGACTATTCAGACGTGGCCAGAGGAGGTGGCCGTGAGAAGGTGTGTAGTTGTAGTTTGTATGGGCAGTAGCTGTGGGTTCCCTGGGAAGGAAAATAGTGTAACTCTGCATGATCAGAAGAAACAGAGCATAGCAGTGCATTACTATGGAGAGACCTCACCTGGGGTGTTCCAGAAAATTCTAAAGCTCATCGGGGTCTATACCTCCATTTTGAACAAGGGCTTGTCAGTGACACTGTAGCATGATCCCCTCGGGGCTCCTATCCTGGCCTGCTAAGGTTTCTTCCATGGTGAACACCGTGGAAAATGTCTTGGCATTTTCACAACCCCACCTTTAGTTCCCTTAGGAACTCTGTGAAGGATGAAAACCAGACACTGAAGAGTCCCCACGAGAAACAGGTCTCTCTTCTCCTTTACTCCAGCTTCCTCTCCCTCCTTTTCCATGTCCTCCTTGCTCCCTGCTCCCTTCCTTCTTGCGGCAGGCAGCGGTGGGCCAGGTGTGAGGGCTCAGGGGGGTGGAGCCGAGGTGCTCATGTGGCTGTGGGAATACCTGGACAGTGATGCCCCTACGGTCCTCCCATCTTCCTCCCCTCCCACCTCTCCTCTCACCCCTGGAGGGCCAGGATTGGGGCAACAAGGGAAGGTGGCCATGAAGCCCAAGCGAAATCGTCTGTTCATGAAGCAGTAGATGATGGGGTTGACACAGGAGGAGGTGTAGGAGAGCAGAAGGATGAAGGAGATGGGGGTCCCTGAGAGGTGCTTCTCGGCAGAAACGGTGTCGTATGCCCGCCAGGCATTGGCACTGAAGATGGGCATCCAGCACAGGAAGAAGAGGGCCACGATGACAATGAGCATGCGGATCACCCGCTTCTTGGCTATCAGGTTGGCGGCGGAACTGCTGCTCCCGACGCGGTTGACTCTGTTGCCACGGCTGCTGGTGGACAGCTGCTGCAGCTCCAGCTTCCTCGGGTGCCTGGACTGCTGCAAGTAACATCCGTCACTGTCCTCGTATCGACTGCTGCCGCCACTGCTCAGCTTCCTCTCTGGATGGGCAAGTGACATCATTTTATTGTTCAGGACATGGCATGCCAGAGAGAAGGCATGGAGCCCCCGACTGCCCCAGTCCAGGAGGCCAAGCTGAACTTGAACTGGAGAAATGGGCAGGCAGCCTGGCCTGAACTCATTTACATCAGTATTAGTCTGCACTAGTTCTAATCTTCCAATGCAATATAAATTATATATATATATATATTTATATATTTATATACACATATGTATTAATAATAATAGTAATAAAATCCTACACACAAAGATTGTAAGGCTGAAATTTATTGCAAAATAAATATTAACACTCTTCTCTGTCCTTTCCTTTCCTGTTTGCTTGCTGAGTTTTTAGATTACTTTTATTGTGAGGACTCCAAGTAACAGAGAAAGTCAACAGGAGCCAGAGAGACTGTGTTATCTACATAGTAAGGACCTGAGAAAGAGGCGGAGTGAGAAGGAAAAAGTTGTGTCAACACAGGTGTTGGGGACAGGTTCAGTGGGCTCTAGAAGGGAGGAAGGATGGAGAAACAGACGACAAAAAGCTGGGCTTGGAGGCTGTGGATCTAATGTCTCAATGTCACATGCAGGACAGAGTCACCAGAGGGTGTCCACTAAGTGTCTGCAGTACAGCAAGCCTGGGGGACAGGGTCCTCTTGTGTGAGACTGTGTTGTGTGAGCATGCTCTCCTTTGATTCCACTCAGGACCCCACCAAGAAGAAACATCTCCTCATTTTACACACAGGTTACCAGAGAAACCAGGTCTCCTGGCTGCCCTCTGATACCAAGCCTCCAGCACGTGCTCTACATAGTCTGAGTCCACCTTGTTAGCTTATAAAGTGAGCTTTTGAGTTCTTTTGGAATAAAAACCCAGCCCAAAGATAGTTACCTTTAGCAGATCTCTTCTGGCTAGCATCAAATTTTATTCCTTGGTAGAGTTCCAGAGAGATCAATCCATAGGCCACCACCATCACAATCCCGGGGATGAGGAAGAGGATGAGTAGCAGGAATGTTTGCCTAATGCAATTAAAAGAAATCTAATCACCAGCGACTCTGGACCTTCAAGTTCCAATGGGCAAGAATAGCACGGGGAGCTGGTCTGAGCAGACGCATTAATTTCTAGCATTTAACATACTTGAAAATTCCACGTCTGGAGGTTCGGTCATTAGAACTTGTTTACTTCTCGTACTCTTTAAAATATCTCCGAAAGACTGCTTAAATTAGGAAAATGTGGCATCATTCTATGCTCCAAACCAATGAGCATGTTAAATGATAACAGCAAAACCCACAAAGTAGTGTGTGCTTACAGTCCTAGATACTTAGGAGGCTGAGGCAGGAGGCTTGCTCAAATCCAGGAGTTTGAGATTAGCCTGGGTGACATAGTGAGACCCTTTACAAAAATGAATGACATGAACAGTGAACAAATAATGAAGTCTTTAAAAAATAAAGGGAGTTATGTAGATTATATGTTGAAATAATAAATATGAAAACATTCCTAACTAATGAGAACTAGTGCTGGGTACTACAGGTGAGGCTAAGCTCTTTGCATACATGTTTCAGTTTAACTCACATAAGAACCTTAGATGTAGCTTCTATTATCTGAGCACCTACTATAGAGAAGAGGAAATCGAGTCTTGGAGAGATTAAATGTGTCCAAAGTCACACAGATAGTATCAGAGGTGAGATTTGAACCCAACGACACACATCAGCCTATACAACTTGTTGACTCTACAATGGGAGTCATTAAATGTTTAGGTCGGACTCACAGAAAATCTTTCAGTTTTTACCAAATGTGGCATTTGCCATCCATAAATCTCCCTGAGTATCCGCTCTCTGTCATGCTGCGAAGCTGCTTTGGTGGTGCACAAAATCTTATGCCTGGAAGGGTTGAGCTATGCTTTCTCTAAACACGGTTCATTGTTGAGGATTCATAGCCTCCTGCTCTACGAGTCCAGCCCCTAAATCACTTTTGCAGTCTGGCATGTGTAAGCTGCAGATTAGACCATACTGTTGTCAGAGGCGAACAGTGGCTGGGCCATTTCTCATTACAACTGGACATGTTTTGATAAGTCTTGTATATCCTTCTCTGTCGTGATGCAATGCTGTTCTGTGTGCAAGCTACTTGACGAAAACGAAAGGCAGAGAGAGAGCAAGGAAGCATGATCTGGGTTCTTAGCCACTTCGGAATGTCTAGATCCTGCTTCAAAAACAGCCCTGTAACTAGGAAACGTCACCCACACTGGTGCCGTCTTTTCATTAAAAGTATTTTTATGGTGTCTTATTTGAACCTTGTAGCTGTCCACTAATACAGATTTAGAAAAAAAAAAATCTGTATTATTAATTCCCTTAGAGATAAAGAACCCGATGCTTCAATAGAGATAAAGAACCCGATGCTTCAAGAGACTAGGTAAACTTCCCCAAGGCTATTTAGCCAGTAAGCAAATGAACCAGTATCGGAACATCTTCTCTTCTGGTAAGCTATTCTGGGCAAACACAGTGGTTATATACACTAGGAGTTAGGGCGTTGAGATAGCCTAGCTTGGTAAAAGCACTTGCCACCAAGTTTGATAACCTGTGTTTAATCCCTGGAACCCACATGATAGAAGTAATCCTTCAAGTTGTCCGCTGACCTCCGCACAGCACCATGATACATGTGTACCTCACAGCTACACAGCTACACAAAAGAATTAATACCGGTCACTCCTCAGTTCTTTAGAAAATCATCGCTCTGCAAGTCACCCAGTCTGAACTTTTTGGGGACCATGTAGATGCCTAAGCATAGTGGTGAAGCACACAGAGAGGCTTTGGCCCTTCCTAGCCTTGTGGATTTAGCTACTCTGGAACCTCTTAGTCACTTATCTATAACATGGACGTGCTAACATCACTTCATCTATAACTGTATGGTGTTCAGGGTCTTGGTTTTCCGCTGTGTACTCTTCCTGTCAAGCTAGAATGGCCCTCCTCAGAGGGGCCCCTGAAGCCCCACGCTTGAGGGACTATGGGCCTCCAACTTGCTGGGCTCTGTGTTATTTCCTTCAGCGGGGCAGCCACTTGTAAGATGTCCGGGCTCCAGTAAATAACTTCTTACTCAGCTCTGTAAGAAGATCTAATTTAACTCTGTAGGTCACAGAGAAAAAGAAGGCATAAAAGCAGGAGAGGAACTTGTTGGGGAAAAGGGGGTTCATGCAGAAATGGAGGAGGGATGGGAGAGAAGTTGTCTTCTGGGTGGGGAGACAACTAAACTTCAGTATATAAGTATATGAAACTGCCAACGTAGAATAATAGTAAAAGGACCCTCCTTAGAAAGCCTCCAGGAGACCTGTCCTGTAGTCATTGGGCAGGGCCTTCCTGTTCCTCACACTGCTAACTTAGGTGAAGCTGTGTCTTGAAGGATGAGCAAACACCGCCTTACCAAGATTGCTGCATAGCATCACTTGGCAACAGGAAGCGGCACATGTTTGCCGTCTGGTTGTTATTTTTAGTAAAAGGCACCAAGTTGCTGTAAATGGGGTACGGAGTCATGATGGTGAAGGACAGGCACCAGGTGGCAGCGATGACCTTCAAAGCGTGGGACTTGGTTTGCCAGACCCGGGACTGTAAGGGTCTGCAGATGGCGCCGTATCTCTCCAGAGAGATGGCCACCAGGTTGAACGTGGAAACACTCACGGACGTGCCTGGGGAGGAACAAAGGAGGCAGTTACTCAGGTGCTGACTCCTAAGTTTGTTTGTACATTAGCCTGAGTGTATCAGAGCCACAGTTTGGTACCCTAGGCAAATGCTCAGGGGGTAAAGAAAGACTGGGCATATTTTTTTTTTTTTTTTTTTTTTTTTGGTTTTTCGAGACAGGGTTTCTCTGTGTAGCTTTGCGCCTGTCCTGGAACTCGCTTTGGAGACCAGGCTGGCCTCGAACTCACAGAGATCCGCCTGGCTCTGCCTCCCGAGTGCTGGGATTAAAGGCGTGCGCCACCACCGCCCGGCATAAGACTGTGCATATTTTAAAAAGATGATTTAGTTCCAGCTTTGTATCAGAAAGAACTTAGGGCGGTTAAGCATATGTATTTGCCAACACATCTCATTGCCAATCTTCAGATAAGTTTATTGAGCTTTGATTGCGATCTAACTCCAGCTTGGGCTAAAGGTACTCATTAATTAATAAACAAGGGGATAAAAATACATAGCCATCCCACAGAAGGGCTTTTGGAAACCTAGAGAAGAGCTCTAATTTTGATCTTGAGCATGTGGTTAAATAGACACTAAAAGGCAGAAATTGTCAAGGACTCCAAAAGGTTCCCCAAAGGTCTCGAAATCTACTACATGATTTAGAAGAGAGAAACATTCTAAATTGAATTATCTGTTGAAAAAATGCATAGTGAGAAAAGGTGACAGAGAAAGGGTTCTGGGATGAGCTAACGGTGTCTGTGAGTGGAGAACCCGGGTCTTGGCAGCCGTCCAGCCTTTGTGTTTGATAAAGTGACCATGTACCCGATTAGAGTGGGAGAGAACTACATCTCCTCTAGGGCGTTCCCCCACACACAGTAGAAAGGAGCCCCTTCTCCTCTCAATGGTGTCCAGTGTGCCTGTTTATTGTAACGTCTTATCCTTTAAGTTCACCTTAGAGCCTTCAGCTACGAGAACGGTCACTTACCAATCAGCTGTGACCAACAGATGTGGGAACAGACATTCTAAACGTGGCATCCTAAAACATGACTGCTTACCAGGATAGATAGTAACTCTCTAAAAAACACCATCTATATATAAACTTTTCAGTAAAAGCTTTTTTTTTATTTGAGTGGGATTCACTCACTGTGTTTCACTGGACTTCACTCTAAAGAGCCTATGACATGTAGAATCGAAAGGATAGCTCTAAATCCCATTGAGTTTGTTCTGTACAATGGGTCCACAGCCACTATAAACCCACTGTCAATCACATTCCCCCCCAACAACAAATTAGGTGTCTGGTGGGTACTGTTAGCAGTATTGTTGAAGATATCACACAAGAGAGGGCAGGATCTAAATCATCAGAATTGGAAATTCAACCAAGCCCTGACTGAGCATGATGGGACATGCCTGTAATTCTACCACTTGGGAGGCGGGTGCAAGAGAATCACCTCAAGTTCAAGGCCAACCTAGCTACACAGTAAGTTTCCAGGTCAGTCAAGGCTGCATACCGAACCTCGTTCAATCCTCACCCTGCCCCCCCAAAAAAAAAACCCCAAACCAACCTAAAACCAATACCAAACAACAAGAAAAAGTAAATTTAACAAAGTAAGCTATTATGACATTCCACATAATCCCAGAATTATTTTGCTGTTTAACTCTGGCTATTAAAAGTGTTCTGAGGTGAAATTCACACAGCACGGAATTGACCACCTCGAAGGCGAACAGTTCCGTGGCCTTCAGAGCTATGTGACCGACTACGTGAGCACTTCCATGATCTCTCTTCCCCCGTCCGGCTAAGATGCTGAGGTACGGTCCCTGTCAGACACACACACACACACACACACACACACACACACACACACACACACACACACGCGGCCTCAGAAGTCAATGAGCTCTCAGCAATGCTTCACTATCCAACCTTCTCATTTTTTAATGCTTTAGAATATGTTCAGGGGACTTGAACACAGATGGCATGCTCTTGGTTACTAATCTGGGGGCATGAGGGTCAGCGATTCATCATCATCATTGTGTCTTCTCTTGGACCCTGAACACTCAGCTGGGCTTTTCAAAGGTTTTTCAAAGCTTTCTGGTCTCAGAAGATTGCCCTAGCCCTACTCAGCGCTCTCTGTTTTACACAGCGTGGGCCAGAATCAAACACCCCCTTTTACACACACACACACACACACACACACACACACACACACACACAGGCAGTGTGACAGACAGAGAGGACCAAGCGACATGTTTCTGGCCAGGGTTAGGAGGACCACAGCAGCTGACAAGCTGAGGCATGTGCTCGCCACTGTGGTGCTCTCTAACCCGGGTTCAAATCCTAGCCACCATACTTCCCTTGGCAAGTGCTTGGTGAGACACGGAAGAATTGATGATAGTTATTACCAGGAGGTTGAGAAACAAGATCATGGAAGTAAAAGTGCTCAGCAAACCATCTGGGACATAAAGCGCACTAAAAGAGTAGCTTTGTTAGAACCAGCATTATGTTTGGTATAAGCGGCAAGCTACGTAGCTCATCCGGTCAGGGTCTATGTCATAACCCATCGTCCCTGGGAACATATTCGGCTTCTTATTAGGGACACCCACGCACACCCCACAGACCCCTGGCCTAAGATGCTCCCAGGCTTTGAGAGAACAATCTGGGAAGTGAATCCTGAGAGGAGAAGCAAGACCGAGGTGCAATGGTTTAAAATTGCTTCCATTTCTCACAGAACAAGAAACAACAGCAAAGGAGCCCTGATCCTAGGCACCCGCTCCATTCCACGAAACCCCGACCCAAGTTGGGAGTTAATCAGAATACAATCATCTGCCACCAGAAGGGTATAGCGTGACTTGAAGCCACCTATGAATCCTTGCCCTTCTGCAAAGAGGCAAGCCCACTCAAACCCCACTGTGTTTTGGTATCAACTTCTGAGACACACTTCCTAGCAAGTAGGGGGACGGGCCTGCGGGAAAGGTAAACACCTGTGTCCTTGTACATGAACCCAGGCAGCCAGATGCTTGGTGTTTAGGAACCCAGCAGGGTCCTTCGGCTGTGACTGTCAGGGGTCTGGCAAAAGCCGGGGCTAAGCAGGTTGTGGGAAGAGCCCTGTCAACAGCCACCTGCCCCGACTCACCCATGAAGTAGGTGGTGGTCTTGCACACAGCACTTCCGAAGATGAAATCCTTGAGCAGGTTGGGGATGAGGTTGAATGGCATGCAGAAGAGACAGAGCATGAGGTCACTGACAGCCAGGGACAGCAGGAAGATGTTGGTGACGGTCCGCATCCTCTTGTTCCGAATCAGCACCGTGATGACCAGCGTGTTCCCCAGCACGCTGAGGAGGAATATGAAGGAGTACAGGAGGATCTGCACTGCAGGCTGCCACTCTGCAGAGGAATGGGGAAGAGTTGGAGGGATGGAGGGGGGAGTTAGGAGGGTGGGATGTTAAGACCTTAGCCCCTCCAAAAGAGTGGTCATTTCTGATGATGTCCCCCGCTGGCATGCATCACTGAACCCGGGTATTCCTGTACTGGCTGCATCGCAGACACATGCCCAGGGAAGCACAGGACAAGCCAATTGTTTTTTTAAAGGTTGGTGTGTCAACAGCTCACTCGGGAAATCTGTTTTTCCTAAGGACAATGCTCCTGACTGGGGATGGCTTTCTTTCCTTGAGGCTAAGCATTATTTGCCCATAATCACTTCTTCATGCTGGGTTTCCCCTAAGAAAAGGCAACCTCTACCCCTGACAATGCCTTTTTCTGTAATGCTGGTAAGTCCCAGCTTTCACACTTGGCACCCCTTTCTGCCTACAGCTCTTCTAGGCTTTTGTTACCCCCCCAAATTCTGCATGAGTCCCCAACTCTCCTATGGGGACAATAGCAATATTTAACTGCAGATTTCTCTTACTCTTTTATCCAAACTTCTGAACATACAACTTCTTCATTTAGCTTTATCTCACAGGGATTTTGCACACACACACACGCACACACACACACACACACACACACACACACACACGTATGTACATTTTAGTTAGCCTTGCTTGTTGCTATTATCTCCCTCAACTCGGTAGTTTTCTGAACTCCCGCCACAACCTCTAACACCTACCTTTTGAAGGTTGAGGTTGATCCAGGCAGAAAAGAGTCTCATTTTCCAGGCCGAGTTCACAGGGGGGAGTAATGTTGCTCCCATTCATAAGGAGGCTGTCGACCACGTCCATCCTGCTGCTCTCTGCCAAGTGCTGACGAGGAGCTGGTGAACGGCTCACTCCTGGCTCCTTCCTCTAATGACCGTAGAGTCTCCCAAATGCAACCTGCCGTGGAGGGTCAGGGAGGGGGGATTTCCAGGTGTGGGCTTTGCAGCCATTCCTAAAGGCAACTTGAGTTCCCCATTCTCAGAGCAGCTGGGCAAGCAGTCGCACTCCTGTGGGGAGAAGGCAGCTTGTGTAAGTCAAGCCTGCTCCACCTTCCAGACCCACCCCTCCCATTCCTGGGCCAGTCTGAGGCCCTGAGCACAGGCAGCCTGGCTGTATATTAACCCTTTCTAGATTGGGGCTACATCTACACACATGCGCGCGCGTGCAGCACACATACACACACACACACACACATACACACACACACACACACACACACACACACACACACACACGGGGGTGGGGACAGAAGGAGAGAGAGAGGCTTCCCAATTACCACCTCTCTTCTCTGCCTGTCATTGTCCCAGACATATTCAGAGAGAAGCCTAAACTGTCTGTGTGAGACAGCTTCAATTAACTTGGTAACAGATCCGATAATGCGGACCATCAGGACTAAGGGACACAGAGGGACTGCGTTCCTATCTCCTTATAGAAAAGCAATTAGTGCCTTTTAGCTTTGGAGCCTTGCCCAGCAAATGTGTATGGAGGGAGCTTTCTGGGTGGTTGTTAAGGTGTTACCGAGCACGGTGCTCTGTCTTGTGGTCTCTGCCCTTGCTAACCAGAAGCAGGGGGCTCTTCTGAATACAGATTCCCAGGTCCTTATTACAACAGACGTCAGCGAGCGTTCTCATTTGCTTGTTTATTTTTTACTGTTGGGTTTGTTCACCCACCCCAGACCTGTTCACTGAGAGTCAACCATTTGCTGTGTACTTTTCAAGCATGTCAGGAAGTAAGACCACCTCAAAGGCTATTTAGTGTGGAGAGAGGATGCGTGGGAAAGGATTTAGGCCTTCTTGGGGCGGGGGTGGGGGGCAGGTCACTAGTGGTGCATGGCCTGAGATGTAAGCAATAAAGCTTCCAAACAGGAGGCAGAATACTTTTTGCAGAGGTCACAGCCAGTGCAAAAGGCCTGAGGCGGGGATGAGGTTGGCCTATGTGAAGAACAGAAGGAATGAATGAAGGCAATGTTGGAGGTGTTCAGTGTGAAGGACCTGGTCAGGGGCTTGCCTTTTTCAGGGAGTTGAACAGTATTCGAAATTCCCTCACTGTTCACTGCACAACTGGTCTCAGTTTGAACATCTGAGAAACAGGTAACACATTAGGATTTGTCTTTCTTTCTTTTATAAATTTATTTATTTATTTATTCATTCATTCACTTATTTTTATATCCCAGACGCAGTTCCGTTCCCACCCCCAATCCACTCCTCTTCCATTTCTGTTTAGGAAAATGCAGGTCTCCCATAAGTATCAACAAAACATAGTGTATCAAGTCGCAGTAAGACTAAGCACCTCTCTGTGTATTAAGGCTGGGCAAGGCGACCCAGTATGAGGAGTAGGGTCCCAAAAGCCTGTAAAAAAAAAGTCAGAGACAGCCCCTGTTCCCAATGTTAGGAGACCCTCAAGAGTACTAAGCTACACAACTGTAACATATGTGCAGAGTGCCTATGTTAGTCTCATGTAGGCTCCCTGGTTGCCAGTTCAGCCTCTGTGAGCCCCTATGAGCTCAGGGTAGTTGATTCTGTGAGTTTTATTGTGGTGTCCTTAACCCCTCTGGCTCCTACAATCCTTTCTCTCCTCCTTCTGAAGGATTCTCCGAACTCTGCCTAATGTTTGGTTGTGGGTCCCCATCTGTTTCCATCAGTTGCTAGATGAAGCCTCTCTGATGACAATTGGGCTAGGCACCAATCTGGTCACAGGAGATGGCCAGTTCAGGCTATGGATCCACTATTGCTAGGAGTCTTAGCTGGGGTTATCCTTGTAGATTTCTGGAAAATTCCCTTGTGCCAGGTTTTTACCTGAACCCAAAGTGCTCCCGATTCCAGCAGTCTCTCTCAGCAGCCTTATTTGTAACAGCCAGAACCTGGAAACAACCCAGATGCCCCTTAAATGAAGAAAGGATAAAGAAAATGAGGTACATTTACACAATGGAGTACTACTCAGCTGTTAAAAACAAGGACATCAGGAAATGTGAAGACAAATGGATGGAACTAGAAAAATTAATCCTGAGTGAGATAACTCAGACCCAGAAAGACAAACATGGTATGTACTCACTCATAAGTGGATATCAGCTAAAAGAAAAAAAAAAAAAAAAGCATAATCATGCTACAATCCACAGACCCAGAGAGACTAAGTAAGAAGGAAGGTTTATGGGGGAACTCCCAGATCTCCCTGGGAAGGGGAAATAGAAGATATTTCATGAGTGAACTGAGGGTGGGTGGGGATGGGAACATGAGCGATCAGGTTGGGGGCGGCAGAGGAGGAGAGTTCTGAAAGAGACTATAGGGTCTGTGTTTCTGATTGGTTTGGCCCAGAGCACTAGGACTTGATCTATTTGCTAGGTATCCCTGGTGCCCCTTGTGTACAAGTCTCCTGTTTTGCGGTATTTAATTATGCATAGATGTGTTGTATTTGTTTAACTATGTAAAGATGTGTTGTTGGTTTATCTTGCCTGCCTAAGACACCTGATAGGTCTAATAAAAAGCCAAAAGGCCAATAACAAAGGAGGAGGTATAGGCGGAACTTCTGGGCCGGGAGGGTAAGTAGGAGGAGGAATTTAGGTTCAGGGAAGAAAGAAAAAGAGATGCCAGAGGCCATCCAGCCAGACATGGAAGAAGCAGGAAAGTAAAGCATACAGAATGGAAGAAAGGTAAAAATCTCTGAGGCAGAATGTAGATGAATAGAAACAGGTTAAGTTAAGTTAAAAGAGCTAGTGGGACAAACCGAGCATTCATAATTAATAAGTCTCCATGTCTTTATTTGGAAGCCAGTTGGCGGCCCAAAGAAAATGTCAGCTACAGTCTCCCATTGACAGAACCATATGCTGAATCTTTGCCCAGCCCCTTCCTGACCCCAAAACTAACTGGCAATTTTTTCACAGAAGCTTACAATGAGGGGCTGCGAAGACAGTGGTAAAACCATAAATGTCCCTTCCTGTTTGGGGCAAGGAGTCATAGAAACCAGATGGAAGGAACTGTGGGTAGTGTGTGATACCAATTTGGGTATCACACGGGTCTAGGATCAAATCCCGGTCTTGCTGGTTACCTGCCAGAAAATGCTACTTGAGACCAGAATGACTTCACAGGATTTGTAACAGAGATAGGCTAATCGGTGGAGAGTGCAGTAAATAGTTGTGAAAAGTGAAAGTGCTGTAAGCCTTTCACTGGTGGCGTAATAATGGTCGGATGGTTTTCAATACCCACTGGCCACACCTTAAAATCACCCAAGAAGGGAGCCTTCACCGAGGAGTTGTCCTGATTGTCCTTAGTGATGTGGGAAGATGCACCTCCAACGCTGGCTCACCTTCTGGGAGCCGCTCAGTCAAGGCAGGGGGAAGGAGGATGATTGGCCTTTTGGTGGGGTCTCCCACTTAGCACCGAGTCTGTTCATCCTGTGGTTGCTACTGCACCTTATTCCTTGACTGATGTTAGAACCAGAGTTTCCGGGCTTCCGACGTGGACTCAGAGCCAGGGGCTCCCCAGGAATGCCTCGGTCTTTGGTGTCAGAGTTGAGGCACTCAGCCTTGTAGCTTAAGTTTTCCTGCCCGGCCCACAGTCAGGACAAATCTCTATCACCTGCCAGTCCCACAGCCGCCAGACCCAACCAAGTAAACACAGAGACTTATATTGCTTACAAACTGTATGGCCGTGGCAGGCTTCTTGCTAACTGTTCTTACAGCTTAAATTAATCCATTTCTATAAATCTATACCTTGCCACATGGCTCGTGGCTTACCGGCATCTTCACATGCTGTTTCTCATCTTGGCGGCTGGCAGTGTCTCTCTCACTCAGCCTTCCACTTCCCAGCTTTATTCTCCTCCTTGTCCCGCCAACACTTCCTGCCTAGCCAATAGGGAATCAGTGTTTTATTTATTGACTAATCAGCAACACATTTGCCATACAGAACATCCCACAGCACAGCCTCCTGTGCGGAACAACTACTGGGTCTCTGCCTCTCTGCTGTGAGAAAGCTATTGTTTCAGCAGAAGTTGATATATAAATATATGTGTGTACACACACACACACACACACACACACACACACACACGTATATAGTGGTGAGTGGTGACCAAGCAAACAAAAGGCTAATAATTCTCCGTCCCCCCGCCGTTATTGGGCTGCTAATAGAAAGTGCAGCAAACATTGGAGGTGGATCTCCCCACATCAATTAAGATGCTCTATATATGTATACATATACATATACATGTAATTTATTAAGTATACATGTGTATATGAAATATAGGTAAAGATACAGGTAGATATATAGATCTATTCATTCTATCTGTTCTATTCTTCTAGAGAACCCTGACTAATACAACTGGTTATTTTCCTTTTAGAATTATGAACACCAACCCCTCAGTGGCCTCATGACTTGCTGGTGAGAACTAGTTATGACGGTCACCACCCCATACCCAAAACCTGCCAGCTCTAGCCTTGGGCCCCTTCCTGTGCCTGGAGACTTCTTGTTAATTCTCCTCCCCTGCAGGTCATTTTGGAGCCATGGTGTTTACCTCTTCTTCCAGCCACAGGTCCCATCAGCCAAATCTTCCCCATCTTCAGACTGACTGCCACCTCTGACAGCTGGGAGCGATAAAGGGTCCCATGTCATAATGTCCTAGTTGGTTGTGAAAAGCATTGCTTTAAAGCCTGGGCACAACTGTCCCCTCTCCCCTGGGGTTGATGGCTGACCCAGGCACGATAGACCATGGAAGGGCCTCTTGATTCAGACAGACCATGGAAGGGCCTCTTGTTGCGGTTCATAGGGCTATCAACCCCGAGGGCCACCTGCTGTTGTAGGCTCTAAAGCTAGAAGAGCTGAGGGCTTGAATTGGACCTGCTCTGAGCCAAAATGGAGCCCGATTTGGCTTTGTCCTTCCTTCTTTCCTCCCCCCGCTTCCCTTCCTTTCTTCTTCAGAAGGAAAGAAATGGGGCGTGAGTGCTAGGAACACTGAAGACCACAGCACGGGGTGTCACACACTTGAATGCTGTGTTCCACAGACTTTAGTGCACCTTAACCAGGCTCAGTGGCTGAATGATGAGGACTTACAGGCTCCCTTTCCAAAGGTCCTG